GTTCTTTCTGTTGTTAATGATCCATCTCCTTTGTGCTAGTATTTTAAAGCTGAGTTTAAGAAAGAAAATGCTCATATAGAAGTGGCTTTTCCAATGAAAAGAGTAAGCTTTTGTAGCTGCTACTTGAAAAAATATGGAAGTTATGCCTCTTCTCCAAAATGATTACAAAGATATGTCAAAATTAAATAGACACCTACCAAATTTGGAAACCAAGGATAATTAGCAAACTAGTTTGGTGGAACATTGTTTAATGGTTGCATTTATTAAATAAACAGTTGATGCTCTATTAACATTCTTGTGCACCTTTACTTAGCAGGCATAGAAGTTACAAGCTCTGCAATTGGTTGGGGAATTTCTGCTCAAGTTGAATGCAGAAGTTGAGGAATTTATCAGGGAAAGCAGATCTTGGTTGTTTCTTATGCAGTGATCTGTCTAATAAGGCTAGACTTGTTCAGTTGAGTTCATGTCCAGTGATTACCATGCTCAGGTCACTTTTGCACCATGGCATAGAGTGCTGTCTTGCACGTAATGTGTGGTGGCCAGTGCTTTAAATCACTTTCCAGACCATCTCCAAAAACCCCACTGTTTTTGACAGTTGGGTATGGGCAGTTCTTGGAAAAATTCAGACTGAGCTTTCTTCAGACCAAGATACATTCACTGGCTGAGAATTGATTTGTTCAAGATTATACCTTGCCAAAAGTCTGAACTCTTGGATATGTCCAGTCCTTTCTTCTTCCTTTTTTTAGGTGAGCAAAGGCTTGGGATATTCAAGTTTTGTTTCAATTCTATGCTGACTGAGTCCTTATTGTTCAACAATTTTGTCCCTTAAACTTGACAAATCTACTAACCCTCTTACTCTAGGCTTTCCTATATAGAGTAAGACCATCAATTCTGAAAAGAAATTAGTGATTAGTTAGAAACTGTAGGGCATTGGTGCTTCATGAGATAGAAAGGTGAAAATGGGTGGGTGTCTATTTACTTTTGACATTTTTTTTTTTTACACAGGTGTAATCAAATGTCACTTTGTTAAAATAGCAAATTGATTCCTGCTATTTAGATATAGCAACCATGGCTATGCACTTTATTATGAACAAGCATTTTTCTGCTTTATTTTGAATTTATTTTCCTATTAATTTACATTTGGAAATTAATTTTTCTTAAATTGAAATTTTTTATTAAGCAAAAATAAAGTTAATATGCAAGTAAATATTATAGCTTCAGTTTATTCAGAAGTCTACATTTTTCTTTTGGAAAAATTGTGTGTAAAAACTTATGTAAAAAGTTATGGAATGAAAGCTTCATTTATATATGTTATATAATGCAACTTATTTTTGTTATTAAAACTTGATAAAATCTAGGAAAATTGAAAAAGTAAACGGTTTCATTATGCAAGTCAGTTTTCACAATAAAATTGGTATTAACCAACTGATTGTTAAAATTTTCAAGATATACTTACATTATATGATAATCATGCCATGTGAATTTCAGCTTGTAATGTTTTTATTTAGGTACCTCCACTTTTTCTCTAAAAACAGCATAGCATGATGAAAAAAGGCACCAAACTTAAGTTTTATTGTCAAAATGTTTATTATTAAAAGGAAAGACCAAAGTATTTTTTAATCCTTTCTGACATGTTTAAAATTTTGGTTAAAAAATTTTTTTTGTGTGTGTGTGCGAACAGAGTAACAAAGCTGACTGAAAATTTTAGTACCTTTTTTCCGGTAAAATAACATTAATTTAGAAATTCTTGCAAAAATCAAATAATTGTCAGATTTTAATGGAACCATTCATAAATGAATGAAATTATTTTTTAAATATCTTGGAAAAATAATTTTTTTTTTTTTTTTTTTTTTTTTACACCTGTTATCTACTCACTTACTTAATTTTATGAAATTTTGAGAAATTAAATTCTGATCACAAACTTTGTTTTATTAGTTGAAAGCCGGACTTTTTTGAAAAATGTAAATCATCCATTTTATTTATTTATTTATTTATTTCAAACAGTTACTGTTTTCTTACTGAAAATCTGCTCTAAATACAAAAATTCCATTAAACCATGACATTATTTAATTAGATAAGCTTTTAATTGCTTATATAAATAATATATATTAAGGACATTATAGTCTTAAGACAAAAAATTTTTTTTTCAATGAATAATGAATTGTTTTCATTTTGTTTCTTTAATTATAATAATTTATAAAGTTTCAAAAATCTTTTAAAAATTCAAAACTTTGATCATATTACTTTATTTTCTAATCAAAAATTGAAAAACTGAATACAAATCATCATGCACTACAATTTTTAAAATAATTTTTATTTTTTTTTTATTTTTATGTGTACCCATTTTGAAAGTATGGGTGACCATACACAACATTATCAGAGAATAAAATCGATGACTATAGTAAATTTAGAGTCAGCATTCCTAAACGTAGATTACAAAGAATATTTTCCAACATTTTTAAGATTACTGAGTACTTTAAAATTATAGAAAAAATTTGTTTTAACAGATAACAAGTACATAATCACTGCTACTGTTTTGTTTTAAAAATCCATTTCTCTGTTATTTTAAAGTAAATAATATTTATTTTCAAATCAAATTAATTATATTTTAAATAAGCTAATATTCCTATTTTATATTTTAATAAAGAAAATTACATTGTGATGACAGATGACTAAAAAGGGGTGCTAATCAGCTATTTTTAGCTAAAAAAAAAAGAAAAAAAAAGTGAATTGATTCCAATCAATATAATTTCAGTTTGAAATACACTACAGAGTATTTTGCTTACTGGAAATAGTAAATTTAATCCTTTAACTTTCAATTAAACCTGAAATGAAAGCTTCAAGAAAGCTTTTTAATTTTTAAAATTCATTTTAAACCTTAGGTATTGTGAATTAGTGGAGGTACCAATTTTTATTAGAACAATTTTAATAATTGTTTTGCTGGAGTGAGATTTTATTATGCTACTTGAAGCTTGTTCATATTGTAAATAAATATTTTTTTATTTTCTGATATATAAAGATTATCATGGTTATAACCTTAAAATAAAAAGATAATTGAGTGATGGTATCAAAATTAGAAATTGCAAAAATGTTGAACCAAGATCATAAATTTCTGTCTGGATTTTTGTGAAGAGGAGTTATTAATTACATGGTTTACATTTGGGCTATTGTCCTCATCATTTCTATGGGCCTAGTGGGTTAGAGAGTTCAATCCCTGAGCTAGGCAGTGTGTAATTGAACTCTGTGAAAATAGAGCAAGCAATAACTGAGCAGCACTAAAAAAAAAAAAAGAACTAGATGAGATATGCCAAGTCGTGGGCAGTGGAATGAGATTAAATAAAGGGTTCAGGTTGGAATTCCCTGTAGGTTACCTTGATCGATATACACCTGATGACGGTTGGAGGACATAATGGCCAAAATGTGATAACAACAACAAAGATAAGGACAATAATCCAAATGTAAACAGTGTAAATAAGATCATAAACACTCAAAAATTGAAGACCTTAGCAAGAAAAAAAAATAACTTCAGAATATCATAAAAAGATTTTGAGAACATTGGTCAAAGACAATAACAGTCAAACTACCACTTTTAAATATTACAAAGAGAAACATGGAAGTTTGAAGAAGTATATGAAAACTGATTTCTTAACAGTTGTTACTGTAGATAGATGAAATAGATGGTTGGGATAGAAGTTGGAAACAGACAACCACCAAGACTTAGAAAACAACAGAGGGGTTAAAGGAAGTGAAATCATGTCTCTTCAAAGTTTATAACAGTATTGAGATAAATACAGAGAATTACTGTAATTTCTTGGACAAGATATTTTTTCAGTAGTACAGGTCCCAACCAAGATGCTTGTTTTTTTACATCTTGTTAAAAAATGGTTTAATCCTTTCGCATTCAACACACTCCAACCCACCCCGTAAATATGTTCAATATTCTACCCGCCCCATGTATACTCTGTCATGATATATGACATCATCATAAATAACGCAGGAAGTTGTGCAAATAGTGAAATTTTGAGAGCTGATATTTATGGGGTGGGTTTGAGTGTGTTGAAGGCTAAAGGGTTAAATAACTCAATGGAATGGATCCCAGCTTCTCCAGATATTTTTCTAATAAAATGAAACTTGTAGTGCATCATTCAGAGAAATGTATAGGAGAAAGGAAAACAATAAGCAAAAATTAATTTCTGGGAAGCAATAAAAACTACTTCAACAACTAATGTTAAATTTGAAATTGTAGGAAAGTTAATGGTTGAAAGGTAAATGAAGATTATAGAATGTTAAGAAGCTTATATTAAAATGTAATGTTACATTTTATTCAGGGATATGAGTTTTGATCAACTATATAATTCTATAACCTGTATGTTTTGGAGTGGTTTATAAATGAAAATATATGTTGCACTTTGACATCTAAACAAGTTATTGTTATTATTTTTAATAATGATGGATATTGTCAGTTGAAACCCACACAATATATTGCTCATATAAATAACAGTATACTCTGAAAGATCCAACATTTGTTGCTTATTAGTGATTTTTATCGTGGTAATATTGACTTGCATAATAGATCTGAGATAGAGTATATAAATAAATGATTAATTGTATGAAATATTTTTATATCTATGGGTTTTAGGTTTTAATTCAAATGCTTTGTAAAAATCTAGGAAAATTCTTAAAATTATTCAGTTTTGTTCAAGCTGTTTTTATCTTTGCAAAATTCTATTAGAAGTGAGATAAGTTGTTTATATAAGTTTTTCAAGTTTTAGGAAAATTGAAGTTAACTAAAATGATTTTTTTCCTTATTGATAACCAACTTTGCATCTTTTTTCTTACATTTTAATCTTAGTAAAATCAATTTATTTTGTTTTACATTTCATTTATTTTACTGTGGCTTCATGTTCTTTTAATATAAGAAATTTTATGAAATTTTGATAACTTCTTATTTTCAGAAAGTTTTCATTTCCTTGTTGATTATATTTGTATTTTAATTTCAGATATAATGTTTATATTCAAAGACCAATGCTAGGGATTGCTGAAAATGGTAAGACACATTTTGCTGATCATTATTTTTCTAAGAATTATAATATTTGCTTTAAAAAAAACTGTTTCTTCAATAGTAGTCAGGAGTAAACTTCTATTCATATTTAGGATTATTTTATGAGAATTTTATCTAAAGTAGTATTTGAATTGGTAACTGATTATTTCAGTTTTAAAAGCTTAGATTTGTAAAAATTTGGATGATAAAGCTAAAAGTAGTCACAATATAAATTACCATTTTATTGCTTCTAATTAGCTATTAGAATTTTAAAATGATTTAAATAGGACAAAAATATTGCTGAAAATAATTTTTTTTCTAATAATAACTGATACATTATTTAACTTGTTGATTAAAGAAATACAATTTGTTTTAATATTTGAACTTGAAAATTGTTTATTTTCATATATTTTTATGTTTGGCTAATGCTTGTGATAAAGTTTTATGAAGTGTACTTGAGGAACAGAATTGATTGAAATATTTTCTGTCTTTTTGTATTTTTGTTTTTGCTTTTAAATATACTCAACATTTTACTTTTCTATGATTGTATAATTAGGTTCTGATTACTGTAGCTTTGTAGGAAGAATGCTTATTTTAAAACTAAATGGTTTTTCTAAACAAAAGCATAGCTAAGACATTTGTATGTTTCCACTATCTTTTCGAGTTGGTGTATCATTGCTTTTATGCCTTATGGATGTGTATATTTGTTCTTTAAGTATTGCCATGCTCTTGTGAAAGCATGGTGATATGTATCAGTAGAAATGCCCCAAACTTCTAAGTTATCTTTAAAACAGTTTACTTGTAGAAATAGCATAGTAGAATATTTGTATGTGTACTACATGTTGATTTTCAGCTAATTAGTAAAATATTCAGTACTTACTTATGAATAGAAAATTTTGTAAGAGTAATTTCTGTTTTTGTTTTTCAAGCTAACTGTACTCCTCAATTTAATCTTATGAAATGGTGATAAAATATCATTTAGGCACTAAAAATACTTTACACTTTTTTTTTTTTTTTTTTTTTTTTTAAGATAAATCCCTGGAGAAATGAAATGAATTGAAACTTTCGCTTATTTAAAGCTTCATGAAAGAAAATATGCTCTAAATCAGAAAATAAAAACTGCAATAAAAGTAAAACAATTGTTTGGAAATTTTTAGCTACTTTTTTTAGCACTGAAAAAGGTCAACAAGAGATCCACACTCCTCATAATCAGATTTTGAGAAGTGGGTCAGACTTTTCAGCACTTTTGTGTAGCAAAAAAAAAAAAAACTCTGCAAAAATTATTTTTTAAACATTTATTTTCATTTATTTAATTAATAAATATTTTTTAATATTTAATTATTAATTAATTATTATTACTATAGTACATGGATATTTCTGAAATTATGAAAAAAAAATTTTAATATTTGAGAAATGTAAAGTAAAATATTTGATTATTTTTAAATGTTTGCATTTAATATCGATGGAATGAACATTGAATGTTTTTATTGCTTTTTTGATTATTTCCTAGTTAGCCTATGCGTGTATTTGCTTCTTATCTCTCACTGAACAAGACATGTTAATCTTTTTAAAAGCTTATTACTTGGTGACATAGTGTATTTTACCTAAAGAAAACAAGCTTTTTTTCTTTTGTATTCTATAATAATTCTATGCAATACTTACAATTTTACAAGTACATGGTGATACTTACTGCCCTTGTTGACACTGGATTCAAAATTTAGATATGCAAGATATAGAACTGTTACATTATGGTTTTAACTGCAATTTTCATTTAGAAAGAATTTTTTCATTAATCAGAAAATAAGCTTTTCAAAATCCAAACTTAATATCCTAAAATTTTAATTATTGGATAATATTTTTACTTGGTGTTTGAAGATATTTTAAAGAATTTGGCTAAGTTAGTTGTATAACTTTGAATGTAAGTTTTAAAATAATTTGTTGTTCTTTTCAAATATTTTTGAAATTATATTTTTTGTTAGAATTTATACGAATGTATAATAGCTGATAAACACTCAAGATACTCTTTTTTACTTATTTGTTATGTTAATATTTATTAACAATCAGTATTGATGGACATAAATTACATTATATGTAAAGATTTTACTGTCATTTATTTACTTTATTGTTTACTATTAAGTAAATAAATGAATAAAACTGTTTTCCTTTCAATAGGTGATGTGATAGTTAATAGTACATATATTAGTATTAGAATGAAGAAACTACTATAGTATCAGTTTTGTTTGTGTAACTATTTCTGTAACTTGAGGTATATAATTTGTTAATTATAAAATACTTAACAATTTTAATTTATCATAATTTTTGGAATTATTATATTTTTGTATACTCTCTTGCTTTCTCAGAATTTTAAGTAGATTGGTCCACCCATAAAAATATGTAAAATCTTTTGGGGAAATAATTTTTGTTGATTAGCATTCTTTAGATGTTCTTTGGGCTGCAATATCTGTTAGAATTGAAAAATATTGCATTATTATCGATTTAGAAGGTGGGATATTCTGTTTATAATATCAATATAGTATCAAATTGGTTTCTGACTTTCACAAAGTTATTGGCATTAGTTAGTTTATGTAAGAAAACACTTTTTTTAGGTTGGGTAATAAAAAGGTTTCTCGTAAATAACAAACAAATGGATATATACATTTTTAAGTAAAGAACAAACATTTATATAATTTAATAAAATTATGCATTTGTTTATTCTTAATTTAAGATAATCATGTACTTCTGAAAAAATCCTGTACAAAAATGTTTTAAATGTTTAAGAAAAGGTTAAAAAATGAAATAAAAAAAATGCAAATATTAATGATGTTAGCACATTTTCAAACTTGACATTCTAAATAGCAGCCAAGTGACTTAGTCAAAATCAGGGGTCGATTTGACATTATCAATATTTATATATTCAAGTAGTACCATAGATTTTCAATCTGCTTTCTATGCTTAGAGAATATTGTGTATCCGTTAATACTCGCCAATTTATTCACTGTTGTGTATTACTTGTCTGTTTCTTCCACTGAATCAGAATATATGACTTTCCCATACTACCTGATTCAGTATTGAAATCATGATAGCCAGGTAACAAGATATATTGTAATATTCACATTCTAACCAACAGTTCAATCAGCTATATTGTGTGCCTCATTGGTGCTATTTTGAAATTTTAAATTTAAAGTCTCTAGTCAGATGATGGAATTTTAGAGTGTCCTTTCTTTATTAATCAGAGGTTCCTAGATGGTGTTCATGTTCAGAAGCAATAATAATCTTGTTCATCTTAATTCCAGGTGTACTGAGAGCTGATGATTATGTATGATGATTATTTGTCATCTTATCCTCCAGTGTATTCTCTCTATTATCTTGACTTCATTCTACAGAGGCAAGTGTAACCTAGCTTCCACAAGCAGGGATATAAGAGTTGAGAACAACAATAAATAAACCTATGATGGTCTGTATAAGGAGTACACATGAAAAGATTCAGAGGCTCTGTGTTTCATGTAGCCATAGAAGGTATTCAAATGTAGTTCACTCTTCAGAGATATATCTCCTGAAACAAACTTGAAGAATTGTGCATATTCCATCTCATGTATTTGTGGCAAGTTGTCTGGGAAGAGAATGTTATTGTTAGCAAACATTTTTGCTGGTACATTATTCCTTCTTCCTCATATCTGGTTATGAAATAAAGCACTGCTATTGTTTTCATGTTGGCATTATGCAAAAGGAATAAAGTAAAGGTAATAGACAGAGAACAACACAGAAAGATACGATGATTGAAACAATTAGCACATGTATTTTAGGCTCTTACAATCTCCTCAGTAAAGATGAACACCATCTAGGAACTTCTAAGAAAGAGGAATAAAAAATTTCACCACTTGAGTACAAACATCAGTTTTAAAGTTGCAAAATTAAGAAAAACTTGGTCTAGTGGATTAAAGCATTAGTTAAAATGTATCTATTTCCCTTGCAGCTGTTTAATCCTTGTGTCGGCTTGTGTGAAAAAATCAGTGGAAGAAACAGACAAACAATACAAAGTCTATAGAATACTAACTGATCCAAGATATCTCCTAAGCAGGGAAAATGAAATGAGAATAATTTACCTACCTGGAGTTATTAAAGGGTTCAGTTTAAAATTCCATGAAGCTTATCAAGTATGACAGACATTTGAAGAGTACAGTGGCTGTATATTCTAGTTTGAGTGTAAAGACAAGAACAATAAACTGCTATATTTTTTCCTTACATAGAAATTGTGTATTATAATTATTATGGATTTTCCATGTAAATTACAGATAGAAAAGAATTGTTTCAGGAAAAGTAAAATCCATAAAAATTACTTTTTTTTTTTTTTTTTTTTTCCTTTTTATAATCTTGTATTGAATAATGATGCCAGTTCAGTATTAAGTAAAATATTTTTGCAGTATTGCCAGTATATTAACATAGAATAAGTATAAATTATGGTTTAATTCTATTATTATTATTGTGTGGTATTCCAAGAATAAACATAGTTTAATCATTAAAAATGAATGAATTGATTTTGGGGCCTACATGCTTAAGCTTATCATATTCAGGATGAAGAAGAGACAGCTCAGGAAGGCAGCCTTGCAGAAGCTGATGAGACTGCAGCTCCTCTCCAAATACCTTGTCACTCTAGTAGTAATGTGCTACAAACAACTACTACACAAGTCAAGGTAAATATCTCATCAGAATCCATGTATATTTTCTCTTGTTTTATGTGATAAGTAGTTTATCTAGAAGTAATTAATATTGTTGTGTTAAATATTTCACTTTTTGTAAATTGTTTTTAATTTAGTTATCGGTTTTTCATTTGTTATAGATATTTTAAGTATAAAAATATTTTCTATCATATTTCTAATTCCTTTTCATAACTAGAAATATCCATTAAATCATTTGAACTTTTAAAAAAAAATTAAAAAAAAACATTTTTTAAAAAATATCATTGTTTGATATTCATTGATAAATCATGATGCTAAAACTAGCTAAACAGGTGAGTGTCTCCCCAACACAAGATTTTTAATTGGGCATCTTGCTTGCTTAACATGTTGCATGTGATTGTCTTTGGTTGAAGTTTCACTAATAATTTACTGAACTTTGAGATATTAAGTGATTTTGCTTTTGTCTTGGTGTGTGTTGTGATCTTTCAAACATGCTTTTGCTATGACACTTTCCAGTTTTCATTATCTACTTTCATCTCTGCAAACTGAAATAACTTTATCTAATTTCTACATTTTAGGTACATTCAGTTTGATTCAGAGGAACTTTTTTTTTTTTTTTTTTTTTTTATTGTAGTTTAGGTTATAATTCATTAGATGATTTTTGTTCCTCTTTACATTAAGTTAGAATATAGGTTTTCTGTGTTAGAAAGAATTGCAGTTTCTAAAACTTATAATAAACTAGCAGTAGAGCCCAGCGTTGCCCGGGGATATAACAGTAAGAGATAGATCAACTATCCACCATCATAAAGACTGAAAAATAAAATTGACAAAGATTATTGTTTAAGGTTGATGGACACGCATGTCTTAATTAGTTTTTTTTTTTTTTTTTTACTTAATTGGTCAAATCCAAGCTCAAACAAAACATTGTTTTCAATCGTTATGAGTCTCTCGATTGAATAGAATTTTATTATAAATAATTGTCTTGTAAATGGAATTTTTAAAGCATTCTGAATGTTAAAAATAAAGAAAAAAGTGTGCAAGAGAATAAGAAACACTACCTGCCAAAAAAAAAAAAAAAAAAAAAAAAAAGTTTTGTTTTATTGGCTGAAAAATATATGAAATCCGCTCCCATATTTAAAGGAACCCACACACACAAACAACCCGATGTGAGTTGTCCCCCTTCCATTTTCACGATGTCTCTTAATCATGTATTCAAATTGATTTTGTGTAAAAACAATTATATATTTCCCAATTTTGGTGCTGTTAGAACCACCACAAGGTAATTTTATGTAGTCCTGTGAAGTTTTGTTGAAATCGGTTGAAAAATGTAGGAAATCCGATCCAATATATAAACGTTACAGACACACACACACACAATCTGCATTTTATAATAAGTAAGATTTATATTTACAAAGTTTCTCAAGAGCCACAAGAGTTATTTTGTGAATTTTTGGATGCCATATCTAAAAATTAGTAAAGTGGAATACATATATCTTGCATATGAATATTAGATTAACAAAGTTTGATTTTGTTATTTAGGTGTTTATTCACATTGTCCTTTAGATCTCCCAGTGGAGATATTTACACAAATTTAACATTTAATGACTCTGCTGATTTGTATAAACTATCAAAACTAGTTTAGTGCATATATATTTTAATTCAATGACATGCCTAAAAAATACTTCTACAGATAAATGAAAATGATTCTATTTATGACTGAATAATTTTAAAAAGTTATAAAATCTTATAATTATCTATTTTTTGATTTTTAAAAAAAAAAAAAAGTTTTTTTTCTCCAACTCAGCCCAGCGTAGAGGTTGTCCAGAATAAGTAAAAAAGTGTATTATTCCAATGTCTTATTTCAAATTCTGTCAAATTGTATGTGTAAGTGCCCTTGTGTGTACATGGCACAAGTCATTCATGCAGAACACATACACATATGCATTATATATGCACATGCAAAGTCACAGTATGTGATGGATTGAGAATCAGCTCTTTTTTAATATAGATATGTGAAGTATGTGATATTTGGAAGAAGAATACATTAACCTTGGTTAAGATATTTAATTGATAATTATTTGACAAAATAGCTTTTCATAAAATAGAGGTTCTATTCTAATATGCACAGAAAAACAGTAAGCTCAGGGGAAATAAAGCCTACATTGGCCACAATGTAATCGGTGATTAATATTTCATTTGTTTGCTGTTTTGATCCCAGCAGTCATTCATTAGAGCTTTGGATCAACAAGCTTCGTACATGTTGAACTTTTTTTTTTTTTTTTTTTTTTTTTGCTAAACTTCTTTACATTCTTCCTAAACCTAACCTTTATTGAAAGTTCTAGATTCTGATTTAAAAGTTCTCAAAGGTTTTTCAATGAGATTATTTATGTTTAGCCTTTGAAAAACTTGCTGAAAAGAAATGCTTTTTTTTTTTTTTTTGCATGATGTATTTGAGATTGTTATTGTGTTGAAAAAATAAAATATATATTTAATCTACAAACAGATCCTTCATTGTTGGCAAGATGTGCCAGCATTTGGTCAATTTGCAAAGTGCTAATGATTTAGTAGGTTAGATTCTTTTTTAGATTTTTTTTATTTTTTGCTGTTGACAGAAATTATTTCTTTAGTGCAATGCACTCTTTTAACCCGGTATGATAAAAAAAAAGAAAAAAAAGTCCTTTATCATTATATTCAGAATTTTGGGAGGTGTTTTGAAGTGGTCATTCATTGAGATAATTTTATCCTCTGGTCAAAACACATGGTAGTTTTCCTTGACTGGCCATGAAATTTTGCATTCTTCATGTCACTTGTCTCACAAGTCTTCTCAGTAATTCTGTAGACAGTGCAATTGTTCAGATCCAGCATACAAGTGATATCTGAAGACAGTTGACTAGATTCAGACATTTTGACAATATTTTTGTGCAGTGAACAGTGGTCATTTTTATCAAAACTTACAAAATATCATCATACAGCCAAATAATGATTTATGAATTTGTTGAAGTTATAGACATAGAAAAATGAGTGTACACTTTGGCATCCGTAACTTGGTATGTTTCATTGTATCATAACAAATTAAAATATAGTGCATATGACAAAATCAAGTTGCACATTGGGCAGGCTTGTCCCATGACTATTGAGGCCCTGATTGTAGATGGACAATTGTTGGGATATGATCAATTGTTGGGATATCTCAGGATCGATGCAATTAGGGAGCTTGGAGGCGTGCACCTAACCAGATTGGGTGAAGTGCGCTTTCCTGATGGAAACCTAAACTGGTGCGCTAGCATTTCTATCAATGAACCTAACTTCAGTGTGACATTTGACAAAAATAATAAGGCGTGGACTACTTTGTGGAAATAGGTGAGTGGTCATGCACCTGGTGAATTGAAAAATAGTGCTGAAATAAATTGTGTGAGAATTGGTCAGAAGCACACACAGGAGGCTGGGGGGACTATTTGCAGGTCTAGTTGGCAAATCAAATTTGTATTTTATCTGTATTTTTTAGTATTTGCTTTTATCTATCATAGTTTTTATACTTAAAAAATATTGGCTGAGAAGCAGATTTTAGGCCTAAGTTATGAACACCTAAACTATGGATATATGAAAGGTGGACATGAATTCAATTAAGTTTAGTCTGCATGTCAGCAATCTCCCAATGTTTCATGGTAATTCTGTGGACAGTGCAGTTGTTCAAATCCAGCACAGAAATAATATCTGATTAATGAATATTGAACACACTACATCAGGGAATTGATTTGTAAGTCTAGCTTGCTAACTATTTGATATAGGGTGTTCTTTTGGTGTTTGCTAAACTTAGATTTGTCTGATACACTCAGTTAGGATTTTTTTAGACTAGTCTGTCAATTACACAATTTTTTTAATTGTAACACAATTTTTGTCCTTGGGTAGCAACTGTTATTTTCCTATTTGTTTATGCCTAGAAAGTATGAAGGATGACTAATATTTCCTTCAGACTTTGCTTTTATCACCAGGATAATATTTTAAAAATTGACCTATTTCTGTTGGGAAAAACTGGTGAATGAACATTCGTGTTCATGCAAAATAACATTATTCAAAAGTAGCATTTATTTTATTCTACAATTGCACAAGAGAGATCACAAAAAATTTAGAAGTGGGTAGTTTTTTGCAATTTATCCTTATACTGTAAATTACTTTCATGAATCAGCCCTAAAATATAGCCTCATCATGTTTTCTTTTATGATCCTTGGTAGCGGTGTTCAAAGTCCAGTATATCCTGGTGGAAGCACTCACCTTGTTTCTCTGAGTATTGCCCCATGTTCTTGAATTTATCAAGATGGATGTCAAAGATGTGAACTTTGAGAGACATCTTGCAGCTCATTTTGCTGTAGTTCTTCACCAGGGTCTCAGCAGGCTCCCCATAGTTTTTGGTCTTGTGATTCCCCAGGAAGCCCCAAACCACTGTGATAAATCTGTTCCATGCTGCTTTCTCCATCCTAGTGAACTTCTTGGGAGCTTCTTGCACACTCTTCTTTGTTTATGGTCTGATGAAAATACTGGTTCTGACTTTTACTGCAGACAACTTAGGGAAGAAGTCTTGAAGGCTGAAAGCTGTGGCAAATTGTTTCATAAGGCCTGATTTTAAGTGCAGTGGAGGAAATGATACTTTCTGGGGGTTCAACAGTGGTTCCCATTTGATGTCATTCCTTCCCACACTGAACTTGGTCTGTTTTGGCCAATTCTGTCTGTGGTAGTGTAACACGGTGTCCCTGCAGTCTCAAAAGTAAAGATAACATAAAAATTTGGTAAAGCTGTCTTGGAGACCCATCAAGAAGGCCACCATTTTATAATCTCTGATAACATCACAACCGTACTCTTCATATTTCAAGGTATCCAGCAAGATCTTGGCACTCCTCTGAGCAGCACAAAGTGAACCAGGTGAAGAGATGGATACATTTTCACATTATGAAGTAGCATGGCTTTGAGGCTCCTGGTTGGACTGTTATGGAAGAGGTACCACTTGCTGGGATTACAGG